TTGCATCCTTAATCCCTCAAGCTTGAAGAGAGGAAAAGACTATATACTAGCAAATGATAGTGGACTTGAACCTTTTATATTTTTTTGAGACAACTGTATTGATATGTATTTTACTGTTATAATAAAATTATGACATGAAATTTACCATTTCAACCATTCTAAGTATTCAGTTCATGGGCGTTAAGGACATTCATGTTGTCGTGCAGCCGTCACCATTCAACTCCAACACTTTTTTAATCTTCTCACACTAAAGCTCCTAACCCGTTAAACAGTAACTCCCTATTCTCCCCTCCCGCTGCACCCTGGTGACCACCATTCTGCTCTCTGTCTAGTGAATTTGGCTACTCCAGGTGGCTTACATAAGTGGACTAATACAGTATTAGTTTTTTTGGACTGACTGACTTCACTTAGCATACATCCTCAAGGTTCATTCATTTTGTAACATTTGTGGAATTTCCTTCCTTCTCAAGTTGTATAAGATTCAGTTGTACGTATAAACTCCATCTCTTTATCCATTCCTCAGTTGACACTTGAGTTGTTTTTACTTTTTTGCTCTTGTGACTGCTGCTGTGAATATGGGTGTATAAATAGCCATTCAAGTCCCTGCTTTCAGTTCTTTTGGGTATGTACTCAGAAGTGGAATTGCTGGATCACGTTGATTCTGTTTAGTTTTTAAATATAGAATTACCATATGATTAACTGCAGCACCGTTTTCCATTCCCGCCATCAGTTCATGAAGATTCCAGTTTTTCTCTATCCTTTCCAATACTTGTAATTTTTGCTTTGTTTTGTGTAATAGTCATCTAAAAGAGAGTGTGAAGTGTTATATCATTGTGATTTGGATCGTATTTCCCTTAGGATAAGTGGTGTTGAACATCTTTTCAAGTGTTTGTTGGACATTGTATCTCTATAGAGAAATATTTACTCAGGTCCTTTGCCCATTTTTTATTATTTTTGTTGTTGAGTTGTAAGAGTTTTCTTAATGTGTTCATTGTGCATCCTTTGTGTATATATATATATTTTTTCAAGATTTGTTTATTATTTATGCATACAAAAGCTGGGGTGCAGGCCAGAGATGTGGGAGGTGAGAGGATTCACCAGAGACAGAGTGGGGAACAGAACAGGCAGACTGGCTGAAATACACTGCTGAGGGGAGCAGTGGGCGAAACAGGGAGGTCTGCTTTGCCATGTGGCTTGCTCCTTGGCTGGCCAGGGATCGAACTTGTGCTGCAGTGACTGGTGATAGCTTAATAGTGCTGTGTCTTTAACCCCTGCACCACCAGGGAAGTCCTAAAATATAATTTTTTTATGTGTTTGTTGACTTTAATGTCTTGCAACTTTGCTGATTTGTCTATTAGCTCTAACTTTTTTTGTGGGAAGTATTTATGGTTTTCTACCTATAGGGTTATGTCTTCTATGAACAGTTTTATTTCTTCCTTTCCAATTATTTCCTTTCTAATTCCTTTCCTTTCCTTCTTTTTTTTTTTTTTTTTTTCCCTAACTGCTTGGGGTAGAACTTCCAATAATACTCTATCGAGCAAAGGTGGCAAAAGTAGGAATCTTTGTTTTGTTCCTGTTCTTAAAGGAAAAGCTTTCAGTCTTTCATCATTGGGTGTGAGGTTAATTGTCGGTTTTCATTTATGACATTTATTATCTTGAGGTAGTTTCGTTTTATTCCTAGTTTGTTGAGTGTTGTTGAACACTGTTAATACCCAATAGAAATTTAACATACCATACATTCACCCATTTGAAGTGTACAATTCAGTGTTCCTTAATATAATCACACATTTCTTTTAGTTTCTTTTTTTTTTTAAGTTCTTCTTTTTTTTTAAATTCAAGCATACAAGAACCAGGGTACAGGTCAGAGGTGCGGGAGGGTGAGAGGACTCACTAGAGACAGAGTGGGGAACGACAGGCAGATGGGCCGAAAACACACTGCTGAGGGGAGCAGCAGGCGAGACGGGAGAGGTCTGCGGCGCCATGTGGGCATCTCTGGGGTGGGCCGGGATCGAACCCGCAGCTGCAGAGGCTGCGGGCAGCTTCACAGTGCTTGTGCTCAACCCACTGTGCCACTGGGGAGGCCCTATTCTTTTAGTTTCTTTCTTCTCTTTGTGTATCTCAGACTGTTTGAATAATAGTTTTCAAGATCATGAAGACTTGCTGGAAGGTGGTAGGCTGCATCTTTTTGATGTCTTGGGAGAGAATTTTGGAAAAGAATTAATATTGCCATGTTTGAAGAGTTGGGACTCATTTCCCTTGAACAGTAAGTTAGCATTATGAGTAAGCAACTTCGGCTCCTGTGTCACTGACGTCTGGAGGTGGCAAGGTACCTCTGTGGTCTTTCTGGCTGCTCTATCTTTAGCTCACCCACTTGGATTCTTCCATTGAGTCTGGGCCTTGTATAGCTCTCAGCATGGCTCCCAGGCCTTCCATCAGTGAAGTACTACTCCACCTGTTGGGCAGAGCATCTATAGGGAGGTATAGAGGGCTAGATGCTAGAGCAGGAAGAGGCTTCCCCTATAGGGAGCCCTAAGCAACTCATGTTTTGGGTATACATGTCTTAGTAGTTCCCCATTCCTGTGGAAGGTTGTAGAACCCGACCCAGTCACTGGTGGATTACCTTGACCCCGTTGGCGTTGGCTGTCATTAGTCCATATCACCCTGGAGCACCTGTGCTGCAAACACATGTTCTCATCTTAGCTTCAGGAAACTTCTGTGCCAGGGATGGGATCACATGTAGCATTGGGCAGAGGCCCAGGCCTCTCTGAACAGGACAGAATGAGTGGTCTGGCTTGCAAGTCAGGGGAATCCCTGACTCTGTTGTACTTGCGCATGCTGGGTTGATGACTGCAGGGCAGTCAGGTTTGTTTGCTGCTTTGTCAGCTGAGGCATTGAAGGGGTGGAGACCAACTTTTGGTTCCTCTGCATGTAAAGTGAAGAAACATTATTTGGGCTGCTCTTTTTCTGGAAAATATTTAGATTTTAATATAATAGGAATCTTTCCAGCAGAATACCCAGCTCTGCTCCTGATGGTCCTTGAAGGTCTCCTTCTGGCAGGAGTCAGCAGGCAGTTTGTGTCTCCAACTCCTTTGAACCATGTTAGTCCCTCTTTGAAGTGCTGTTCCTTGTCCTTCTCTCCTGTCCCTTTCTCCCCTTTCCCTTAACCTCTGCTGACCTACTTATCAGGATCATGTGCTGGGGTGTTTTTTCCTGGTTCCTGCCCAACATGATGTGGGTAGCTGGTTTCAGAGGAAGGCGGGTGGGTCAGAACTTTTCCTTCCAGCCTGGTCCTTTATTTTAGGTGGTAGAGACTGCTGCCCCAGCACCCACTAACTCACCAGGAAGTCTGTTCCCCCAAAGACTATTCCCATGTACCTTCAGTGGGGATATCCCCAAGCAGCCCTTACTCCCACTGGCCTTTGCTTGACCAGCCTGGATATATGGGGAGGAAGCGTGCTCACCCCTGGCTCCTTGTTACTCCACCGTGTTAAAGGTCAGTGGTCCAGCCAGACAGAGAAGGGCAGAGGGGTTTACTGTAGGGACAGGAGCACCAGGTTGTGGGGACGCCGGTAGTCTTCATGTTCCTGGCAGGATTACTTACAAAACAGACAGTAGCTATTGGGATGTAAATGTATAGTCATTTAGAAATGGTCAGAATAAGGTAAGTCTAGGTAGTTACTTTAGAAAACATTTTTTAATTGTGGTAAAATAGGCACAATGTAAAATTTACCTTTTTAGTCATTTTTAAAAAATATTTATTTATGCATACAAGAACTGGGGTAAAGGCCAGAGGTGCGGGGGGTGGTGAGAGGATTCACCAGAGACAGAGTGGGGAACAGAACAGGCGGATTGACTGAAATACACGGCTGAGGGGAGCAGCGGGCGAGTCAGTAGAGGTCTGCTGCGCCTTGTGGGTTGCTGCCTGGCTAGCCAGGGATCGAACTTGTGCTGCAGAGGCTGTGGACCTCTTCATAGGTTGCGTCTTAACCCCTTGCACCAGCAGGGAGGCCCCTTTTTAGTCATTTTTAATTGTACAGCTAGTGGCATTGAGAACATTCACATTGTTACTCAACCATAGAGTTAGACCTCAGCCCTCTTGGCTGGGATTCTCAGTATTTTCAGTTCTTCAGCTACCTGTTATGCTCAAATGTGGTTGATATCAGGTATCATGTGTGGGTTTCTACTCTTTTACTCTTGAATGGTGATGATTTGTTTTTCTTATTTCTAAGTTCTTGGGAAAATACCTCCATTATGTCTTTGCATACTACAAAGATTTAGGCTAAAAAAAAGTGATTAATTTCCTTTTCTCTGTGTTCTTATGACATCTTCGACAGAGTTGCCCAACAAAAACCCCACCTTGCTCTGGGTGACTTAGTTGTTTAGGCACCTGGGGTAGGAGGAGTGACAGGTGGCAGGGACTTCACCTGATACCTGCACTCCATGCACCCCTCCCCCCAGCTCTGGATGTACTGAGAGTCCTCCTGTGAACGTATATAGAGAGCAAGAGTAATCAGTTGTGACCCATTCATGGAAGAACCCCCGTGTGAAGGGTCTTGATGATCCGATACAGTTTCAGCCTGGCTATGCTCTTCCGTGTCCTGGTCCTGGCAGAATGGCTTGTGCCTGTGGGCTTGATCTTGCAGTGCTCTGCTGAGACCTACTTCGGATGGAGCTGCTTACTTTAAACTCTTCTTGGGAATAGATTCTGCTACCTTAACTGTAGCCAGAAACTAAGGGACTGGAAACTTTCCTCTGAAACTAAAGCCAGTGGTTCCTGGTTACAGATACAACCTCCTGTTTCTCCAGCTGTTTTAAAGCATTGAGATCAATTCTGTTAGGAAACCAAAATGTGAAGGTTCTCCAAGAACCACTAACATGTTCTAAAAGAGTTTACATTCATTGCTTTTCCTGTTTTTCTGTGCTTTACCAAGAAATATCTGAGCAGGGAGATACATAATTATTTTTTAACCAAAAGTTTTGTATGTGTGCTTTTTTTGAAGGTACATGGGAATAGGACTCTCAGCTCAAGGCGTCAACATGAACAGACTTCCTGGTGAGTCACTGGTTAAGAGAACATTTGTTATGCTCTCCTGATCCATGCTGTGATGAGAGGCATGGTGACAGCCCGAGGCTGCGGTGGACTTTGTTTGTTGACTGCTTACCCCAGGCCAAACTGTTGGGTGGAGGATCCTGAAAGGTGACCATTGGGCCGGGATGGAGTGGGCTTCCATCCCAAAAATTAATTGGCTAGTGATTGTCATTCGTGGAATTTGAACTGTTTACAGTCAAAACCAAGCGACCTGAGCTTGCTCCCAGTGGGGATACGCCTCGGGAGCCCTTGCTCTCATTGGCCTTTGCTTGACCAGCCTGGATATATGGAGAGGGAGGCTACTGCCCCCCCTGGCTCCCTGTTACTTCACCGTGTTAAAGATCAAAGTCTTGGAGTGGCCTCCCACGTGGAACTTGGTTGAGGCGATTTCTTAATAAATAGAACGTTGTGCAGAAGACTTAGGCTGAAGTCAGCCTCAGATTTGTGGAATGCACTGGACTTTGCAGATTGGCCCTCTGACCACTACTTTCTGCCCAGTGGTTCATGCCCAGTCCTGGACTGGGCACAATTGAGGAGGCAGAAACTTCCCCCATAAGTTGATGGGTTCCAGAAGAAGGTCCTAAATCCATTTGTCCCTTGAGTGGCAGAAGTGACATGGTATAGGCTACCCCGACACTGTCATGGAGGCAGGCAGAGTCCCTGTGGTTTTGTCCTGGCCCTCTTTTCTTTGTGCTTACACACAAAATGCAGCTTTTTCCACGCAGGGAGCAGCACTTCAACCTTAAGCCTTTTCTAACCTGTTTAGTATTGATTGTAGATTTTCCCCTAATCGCTCATTTTAAATACTGAAATTTAGACTTGCTCAAGACCTAACTAGTTGTCAGGAATCTGACTTTTCTTTTGGCTTTGATCTGAGTGAAAACTGACCTTTTGTAAGTAATCAGGATGTGCGTGGCATGTTTGGCCTCTGTGTAGTGTGTGGTTGTGATATTTGTCATACAAGCCCCTGGCCTCAGCTGGCTACATGTGTCTACATTGTCTGTGGCTTTGTCTCTATGAAAAGGCACTTTGAAAAATAATTTCCCATCAAGGGCAAGTTGGTTATTTATCTTTTTACTGCTTTAAATGTGCTCTTTGAACTTTTGCACTGCTCTGGTGGCAGAGAGAAGAGGCATCTCTAGGTTTATTATATAAAAGTAACTTTTAATCTGATATTGAATAATACTTTAAGCAATCCTAAATATTGGTTAAGTAAATTTTTGTTATTCTGTGTAAAGGAATACTATGCAGCCACAAAGAGGAGGTTCTTTTGGTGCTGATTTGGAGCCATATCTAGGATGTACTATTTTTTTTATCGTTTGGTTAGTTTTGTTAATTTATTTTTTATTTTATTAACTCAATTTTTTTTCTTACATCATTGCAGCCCCCATAGTTCTCTCACCACCATATCACCTGTCAGCCATCACCATAGTCCCTTGTATTCTTCCCTTCCCTGTTTTGACTCCTCCTTTGCTGAATGCCTCAGATTTATGGTCAGCTTGCTAGTTTTGCCCTTTTCTTGACCTTTTGTTTGGTTTCTCTGTATTCCACATGTAAGAGATATCATCTGATGTCTATCTTTTTCCTTCTGACTTATTTTGGCTAGTATAATCCCTTCCAGCTTCTAGGATATACTATAAAGTAAAAAATATAAGGCATAGAAAAGTGTAGAATATGCTACCAAATGTGCACACACAATAAAAGAGGGAAAACAAATATCTATATCTGCTTGGCATACTACAGAAAAACTGTAATATTAGCTCTCCCTTGGAAAAGGAAAGGGTGTCCGAGGTTAGGACCAGTAAGGGCATTTTTTTCCTTTGTAAGCTTTTGAATGTTCTCTTTTGTGAATATATTATCTATTTAAAATATATATCAATAAAATTAAAACAAAATAAAACAACAAAAATGCCCCAAATACATCAAGAAGCCCGTATGCCTGACTTTCAGGTGGTCTTGGAATGCAGCCTTTTACCATGTGCTAGGCTTGGTATTCTGAGTTCTACTTGTTCATCCTTTTAGTAAGAACCACTTTTGCGTGGCCCATTGGGTTCACGACCCTTGGAGTGGACCAGATGAGATGCGAGGCTTTCAGGTCTGCCTGGACTGGTCTGGCCCTCTTTGAGATGAGGCCATGTGGAACTGGCCTAGTCTGTTTGCCTTGTTCATAAGACATGACTTTTCACCCCTCTGGTGGTTGGAGGCCAGCTGCTGGTCATGTGCTTTTGACCTTGTTAACGTAACTTTATAGGGAAATCATTTTTGGCCCTTATGAAGTCCAACCCTACCCAGGCTCAGGAGGATGGCTTGTGGAAGGAAGGGCTTGGAGACTGCATGAGGGTCTATTCCCCACATTAGCACATCAGGAGAGTTGGCACCTTTTTATGTCTTTCCTGGTGCATCTCTTTTTTGGCAAGAGAAAGGGGCCTCAGTGTTCTGTGTATTTTGCACCTGTCTTCATTTTTGCTCTGCCTGCCAGTTCGTGAGGCTTTTCCTTCCTGCCATATCTGATCATCTCCCTGATTACTCCTTAAGGAGGAAAGTAGGAATCAGATTGCGTCTAGATAGGGGTTCTCCTGAGGAAGGATGGAAGTTCCTGGCTTTCCTAGTATACTCAGCTGGCTGAATGGCTGGATATACCTAGCATAGGGGAGATAGAAGGGCACAGGGAAGGCACCCCTCTCGGGAATGGTAGGTTTCCCACTCTTCAGCCCAGGACAGGATTTGGAAGACCAGAATGCCCTTTGGTGCTTTCCATTTCCTGTGACCACTTTTTTTTTTTTTTTTGGTGGTGAGCATGCAGTCACCAAAAGCAGAAAGTATCATCCTTCATAAACAGTTGGACCTGAAATAATTAGCGTGTATTTTGGTGGAGAGGTAAGATGGAAGATGATGGCAGGCTCTAGTGCCTTTGTGCTAGCAGCTTCTGCTTTCCCTGAGGTCCTTGGTTGAGCAGAAGGTTATTTGTTTTGATATATGGGTGGGCAGGAGGTGGGGAGAGTAATGCATGGTGATGACTTTAATCTAAGAGGGTCTAGAATTTGAGACTTTGGTGTTAGCTTCAGATGAGTTGTTTGAGGGTGACAGTTTACCGTATTGATAGGTATAGGTGTGTTTGGTAATGTGTAGTGGTTAGGGTGGCTACTGTGGGTGGCTTCATGGTAGTGAAACCTGGCATTGAGGGGTAAATAGGGATTGTCAGGTGGCTATGGGTGGTGGTGCTGTGACTGAAGCCTGTGAGTGGATCCATAGTTGTCTAGTGTGGTGGGATATCTTCCTGGGGATAGTCAGGAGCCAGTGAGCCAGTGGAGTCTTGTGTTCCTCGTCATGGGGCCTGGACTTCTCTTTATTCACAGTGGGTGCTGCAGAGGTATTGCGAGCACAGGCAAATTGTGATCAGATTTACTAATAAGCAACTAGTTCACACTCACTTGGTGAAGAGGGAAAAGGACCAGCGGGAACAAGGCTGGGCTGGGGCTCCTGGGCAGTAAGGACTGTAAGAGCTCAGACATGTTAGGCGACTGCAGGAGGCGGTAGATTATGGTTAAAAAAGAAGTCCTCTTCTTTGTCCTGAAATATTTAACTGGAAGCACTTAATCAGAAGTGGACAGATAAATTTCTAAATGTCTTATGGTTGTGTATGTTGAAATAACTCAGTATATCTGGTTTAGTTAAGAATAATCCTAACAGGCCATCAGGAGGTATTCCTTATTTTCATGGTGTCTATATAGACGACTTTCTATTTGCAAGTTTAGAAAAATTTATCAGTGAATCCATCTGGGCTAGTTGGTCTTTTGGGGAAGATAGTTTTTGAAGATTTTCCTTTCCTCTCTTAATAGCTTGTTCAAATAACTTGTTTCTTTCTTTCTTTTTTTAAAGATTTATTTATTTATGCATACATGAACTGGGGTGTAGGCCAGTGGGGGTGAGAGGATTCACCAGAGACAGAGTAGGGAGCAGAACAGGTGGATCTACTGAAATACACTGCTGAAGGGAGCAGCCGTCAAGACAGGAGAGGTCTTCTGGCCATGTGGGCAGCGCCCTGGCTGGGACCAGTGGCTGGTGATATTATATATGTTTTTATTGTTCATTTACATATCTATTTTACATATTTGTTGCTAGAGGCTAAAAAGAATTTTGAAAATTACGTCAATAGGGTTTTGTGTTGAGCCAGTGGCTTTGGGTTGGAGGATTTAAGCATCTGTGGACCTGATGGCTGGTACTGGGTGTGGGAGACAAAGGGTAGTATTGTGGGGAGTCTCTGAGGGGTTTAAACAGAGGGTGGAAGGGCATACCCTTTTCGAAAGGACGGGTACAAGCAGGTACAAGGCAGTTAAGAGACTCTCAGTGGCTTAGAAAAACATGGAGGTATCTTGGACTGGAGAGATGGGGTGAAGACAGGCTTAAGCCCCATGGGAGGCAGTTCCTCTTCTGGTGGTATGCTTCCAGAATTTTGCTAATAATTTGTTTCATGACTGCCTTCATTGATAAAATGGCCTTCTGGGCCTCCCTGGTGGCGCAAGGGGTTAAGCACCACACTATAAGCAATCCACAGCCTCGGCAACACAAGTTCGATCCCCGGCCAGCCAGGGAGCAACCCACATAGCGCAGCAGACCTGTCCTGTCTCGTCCGCTGCTCCCCTCAACAGTGTATTTCAGTCAGTCTGCCTGTTCTGTTCCCCACTCTGTCTCTGGTGAATCCTCCCACCCCCCGCATTTCTGGCCTATACCCCAGCTCTTGTATGCATCAATAAATAAATCTTTAAAAAAATAATATTTAAAAAAAAAATAAAATGGCTTTCTGGTGGCCATTTTATATCCAAGTCTTAGTGTTACTATAGAAGCAAGTGGGAGAGCATAAGTTGAGCAGCCTTTGTCTGAGACACTTCATAAAAGGTTTCATTTAAGCTTTGGCTTACCTGGCAGCTGCTGCTGCAGTCTTTGACCCTTAGTTCTGTCTTTTG